CATGAATTTGTTGATGATCCTTCACATATCAAAACATCACATTGTATGTTGCAAATCTGTATAATTTTTATTTGTCAATTATTAAAGCTGGCTATGGGGAGAAAAAGAAAACAGAGGTTTAAAGAGATGAAGCAATTATTTGCCAGTAGTCAGAAAACTGGAGCCAAAACCCAGGAGAGCCGCTGTCAGAAGTTGGATGTTCCTATCTGTGTAGCTTAGCTCCTTTCATGAAGAGTGAGAACCCTCAGGACAACCATGCACTAAACTCTGTTACTTTCCAGCAACATTGGCTGGACTTGAACCTGGATGGGAAGGAGGAGACCGTCCCTTCAAACCCCTGCGCTCTATGGAACTTTCTACTCCAAGACAGAGCACTTGCCTCCTCACCAGCACCCAGCAAAGCAAAGGATGACTGGGAGGAGTGTCGGGGGCCACATTCAGAATTGAGATGTCATCACACACACACACACACACACACCCCTCAACTGTCAACTTACACCACTTAGAGAAGAAAGGTGGTGCCTCTCATTTTCTGAAACCTGTATTTCCAAACCTGTTTCAAGTTGTCACTTTCATGGGCAGGCATTTAAGTCACTGTGTGAGATGCCCACCTTCCACTTCAGAGCACCAAGCCAGGCCATTCCACTTCCCATCCAGCTTCCTGCTGGTGCCACCCTGGGAGGCAGCAGATGTTGGCTCAAGAACTCACATCCCTGCCACCCACACAGGAGACCCAGACTGAGTTCCAGGCTCCTAATTCTGGCCTGGTCCTGCCCTGGCTCTTGTGGGTCCCTGGGAAGTGAGCCAGAAGGTGGAAGATCTCTCCCTATCTGCCTCACTGTGGGTCTCTGCCACTCAAATAAAATGAAAACAAGAATTTTGATTCCATCATCAATACCCTCCAGCATTATTGGCCACTGACATAGACTGGCAGTGCTGGCCACCAATGACATCCCAGGGTGTTTGCAGGACCAGCTTAAGGATGGCAGCCTGGTTAGAAGAGGAGGCCCAGGAACATGTCTTGAAGCTGTAGTTCAAACACAACCCGGCTTGTTTAATACGAGCTTATAGGTTACATACTTCTTTTGGGTGAGATCCCAAGAGCTGATAGAGATTAGGTAGGACCTCAAGTCCACATAAGTTACCCCTTGCAGCTGTCCTTGGTAACCACTAATGTACAAGCAATGTGAGTTTGTGTTGAAATTCCATCAGAATCACAGGTTACTCCGCTTCTTGTCTGCTACAGCATCATTGCATTGCCAGGGCCATGCCTGCCAATGTCAGAATAGCTGTCATTGTTTTTGTCCTAACAGAGAGCCTGGAAGACAATAAAATACATAAATTCTCTAAATTTTTTAAGAAACATACCATTTATCAATTTATAAATGCTTCCCACCACCTTTGGAAATGGAAGTAGAATTTAACTGTTGGGGAGACTGTACCCTCTGCTCTAGAAATGACTACTTGAATAAAATTATTATGCAAATATTAGAGTAGAGTAGCTTGTATATATTTGCCCCTACCTACTAGAAAATGCCTAGAAATGACTTCTGGGAAAAGTAGACTAAGCATCTGACTCCTCCATTCCATGTTCTTTTTCAGATTTATTTATTTATTTATTTGAAAGAGTTACAAGGAATAGGGGAGAAAGAGAGATCTTCCATCCACTGATTCACTCCCTCAGATGGGTCCAACAGCCAGGACTGAGCCAGGCTGAAGTCAGGAATCAAGAGCTTCATCCGGGTCTCTCACATGGGTGGCAAGAGTTCAAACACTTGGGCCATCTTCCACTATTTTTCCCGGGCCATTAGCAGGGAACTGGATCAGAAGTGGAGCAGCTGGGACAGGAACCAGCACCCGTATGGGATGTCGGTGTTGCAGGCAGCAGCTTTTCCCAATATGCCACAGTGCCAATCACACTGCTCCCCACCAATTCCTTTGAGGATCAAAGTTATTAGAATGTGTCTGATGGGGGCAGCATTGTATCACAGTGGGTTAATCCACCACCTGTGATGCCAGCATCCCATATGGGCACTGGTGTGAGTTCCAGCTGTCCTACTTCTGATCCAGCTCCCAGGTAATGCACCTGAGAAGGCAGCAGGAGGCAGTACAATTATTGGGCCCCTGCTGCCCACATGGGAGACCTGGATGGAGTTCCAGGCTCCTCTTGTCTTTGACCTAGCCCAACCATGGCTATTGTGGCCATTTTCCTAGTGAACCAAGAGATGAAATAGTTCTGTGTGTGTATGTGTGTGTGTGTGTACCTGTCTCTTTCTCTGTAACTCCTCCTTCTGAATAAATAAATAAAATCTTTAACAACAAAAAAATAACATGTTTGAGAAAAACCGTGGTGGTGCTGAATGAAGCAAAGTGTCGGGAGAGAAGAGACACCCCCGAAAGGTGTCACCAGGAAGAGGGGTCTCCCTTGGTGATGGGGAAAGAAAGGCAACCCTCTGTGGGGGGCCCCATTTCCATGGTACATGACAGGAGGCAGAGCAGGGAAAGGGTTGGCTCAGAAGCCCCTGGCCGTTCTCCTGGGGACACTTGGGAACAGTTAGGGAGAAGAATCCCAAGGCTAGACTTCCTGGTCATTTGGCACATTAAGTTTATTGATTTGAGTCTTGTTTGATAATAAGGCCTGATGGCCATATTCATGGGCCCCTCTGAGTATGAACAAGGACAAACAGAAGGGAGTAACTGAAACTATCACTCCGTATCATTCAGCAGTGATGAGCCTACAGGGTTTCTGTAGAGGACAGATGAAGCCAACTCACAGGAACCGTGTGCTCCTTTCTCAGCAAACGAGAGTCTCCAAAAATGGGGAGGCATAGGACATTTGCAATCACACACACAGATTCCCCCAACTGTGTATGTGTGTACATGTACATACACACACATGCATACACACACATGCGGCCAGGTGGTACTCAACCTTTCACCAACAGCAGAGGGAAGTCTGTGCCCTTGGAGAGGGCACTGATCGCCGATGTGCCCCTGTAACTTAAAAACTGTAGAGGTACAATGAAGCACTTCTCTTGTCTCACTCCTTGAGTGACATGGGGCGGAGGAGGGGAGAAAAGTGAGGAGAACACACATGTGATTCGCTCTGTAAGATTACTTAAAATCCAGCTGTAGTTCATTCCTTTGTTTGCAATCCAAAAGGCATATAGAAGGCAAAGGGTATTATTTTAAGGGTAATCTTGGTTATCCTCTAATTTATTGATTGATAGTAAGCTGTTCCCACACTTGAGTACCTTCTTTGTAATAATTTATACAAAAGAAATCTCACTACCAGTGAGTTACCACAGTTAAGGACAAATGCATAAGAAAATATGAGCCATCTGATGTTCACATTGAAATAAACCACCTTTTTTGGAAGAAATGACAGTTCCAGAATAGCACAGTTGTATTAAAGGTATCAACAAATAAATAACCCATGTCTTGGGTTTCTGGCCTCAATTGCTAAAGGGTTGGCACATTTGTACCTCTGGGCACCTTCCCACTATACCAAGTATTAAAAGTAACCAGAAATAAGTCCTGAGCTTTAAACATATATATAGCCAAATCTCTTTCAGGAACCAGGACACTACCATATGATACAACTAGCAGATCAAATGAAGTTCATGACCACAAAATTATTCTCTCTTAAAGAACATGGACAGAATGCAGAGAGCAGATGATGATAAAGGAGTAGGATGAGCAAACCAGACATCGTTTTCATGAAAGTAATTCTTCAGATAATGAGCCTGGTTTAGGTGGAAGGAGAGCTGTGACAACATTGTATGTGAAGGGATTGACTCTACAAGAGAAGTTCCAAGGCAAGGATACGCAGACCAGAAAGCCATCCACCAGCCCCTCTCCCCCAACAGCCATGACAGCCACATGCAGAAAATCCCAGGTTCACAGGATGTGCAACTCTCTAGTTGAGTGAGTTTCATTTTATTCAAAACCTCACAATACAATTACCAAACACTTTCTAGGAATAAGAAAAGCATTTGCCTGCAATTCTTGTCTCGCCATTGCATCCATCACATTGTATAAAGAAATCCAAACCCCTATCCATCACTCCCTTTCAAAACTTATCTATAATTCAATCTACACTAAGAACCTTCTCACAATGAAATGGCTTTTACTGAGCGATTACACATATCACCTGGATGCAAAAGAGAGCACATTTTTCAAATATATTTCATGGACTCCAAGAGTTGTCTGCATTGTTTATGCGGGGAGAAAAGCAAGGTTTAAATGTTCTACCAGCCTGGTGAAAGTATGAAAGTCTGATGGAAAGAAAAGTGAAAAAAATAAGATGAAAGGAGAGGAAGAAGCAAGGTGGGAAAAAGAGTCAGTTTTAATTCCAGTAGTACTGTTTATTTCAAAAGGGAGTTGAAAAGACAAGTTCAGGAAAAAAACACCTTTTTACACCATATTCATATCCAGATTGAGTTGTATTTAATAAGAGTGAGAAGGTAAAGGACAGAGTTATAATGAAAATGGAGCAGAAAACAAAGAAACCTTGGTAGGAAAGTACAAGACTAAAAGATGAGCCAAACAGAGTGAACAGCCACCTGGCAACCAACACAAGAAAACTCTCACTTCAATTCAGCTGGCAGCACCCTTCATCGCTGCTAAAGACACAGGGCTGAATGGATTCCCACCCCATGCTTTCTCTCAGTACTCTTATCTCCAGGCATCAGCATCCTTTGAAGCGAAAGACTCATTAATCCAATTCACATTGCCAGCACCAGTAAATCCACAGCATCTAAATGGCAATGGCAATTAATACCAACAACAACTTAACTCCTGATAGGATCTTCACCACAATCAGGAAAATCAGCCAGAAGTCTAGCAAGCATTGATTCCAACATTCTTTTATAGATTCTAATAGACTCAGTGCAAAGAAGTGAAGTCACTGCCCAGCCACACTGAGGATCGATCCAGGGATCCATTTGGACCAAAGTGACTCCACAAGCAATAAGGACAAACAACTGCAGCCAGCAAACCTGAAGGATGTCTTCACCAAGGCTTCCGGGCTATCCAGCTGCGGCAATTCATCAGCCAGGATTTCCTCGGGTGGTCGTGGGTCGTGGACAATTGTCGGGCGTGGCTTCTCCTTGGCATTCCCCGTGAGCCCGTCGATGAGGGAGTTCCACAGACAGTTCTGTGACTTGGAGCCTGAGGCACAGGGAAAGAAGAGGTGCAGGTGAATTACTGACTCCCTGTGCTGCCTTCACCAACTCAGGATGTCAAAAACAGCGTGTGGAGGGGCCAGTGCTGTGGCGCAGCGGGTTAAAGTGCTGGCATCCCATATGGGCACTGGTTTGAGACCTGGCTACTCCACTTCCAATCCAGCTCTCTGCTATGGCCTGGGATAGCAGTAGAAGATGGCCCAAGTCCTTGGGCCTCTGCACCTGAGTGGGAGACCTGGAAGAAGCTCCTGGACCCTGGCTTCGGATCGGCACAGCTCTGGCCGTTGCGGCCAGTTGGGGAGTGAACCATCGGATGGAAGACCCTTCACTCCCTCCCTCTCTCCCTTTCTCTTTCTCTCTCTATCTCTTCCTCTCCTTCTCTCTCTGTGTAACTGTTTCAAATAAATCTTTTAAAATAAATTAATTAATTAAAAACAGCGCATAGAAATGTGTTGTATTTCTCATCCTTTTCCCCAATATCAGAAGGCTCTGGGAGATACTGAGCAGGCAACGAGTGGAGGAACCAGGAGTTTTTTAAATTACATGCAGAAAATAGGCAAATACTCTGAGAACTTTGACTCATAGCTAAGTATTAAGGGTATATCCTGTCCCACTGCGGTGGTGATCAGCCCCAGACTCTAAACAGGGCCACAGGTATCTACTCAGATGTTTATTCAGCAACTGGAAACATAAAAGCCACCACCATTTTAGAGAGCAGTGAGATGTTCAGACACATGTTTCTCCTATGACCTTAGCTTATATGAGGCCCAAGTTAGAGGACTCCACTCTATAGAGACACCCACCACAAAGAGGGCCCAACCTCCAAGAACTGGGGTTCACCAGCAACAAGTGAATTCTTCTGCAATACTAGAGCCAAGGAAAATGGTGCTGCATGTTTGTTGGTTCCTACTCTTCAGACACTTCCAACATATAAGTGATAAAGGCAGCCACTGCATGAAGATGGATTCACAAAAGTACAGCCTGATCAGCCAGGAGTCAAGGTCAACACCAGCAGGAATGTCACGCTGAGAGAATGTCCCTTGATGGGATGCAGTGAAAATGGTTCTTTAACCTTGGTGGTCCTCCTCCCTAATGTCCCACCCAGGGTGCTAAGTACAGTCCAGCTTCTGTGAGTTTCATGCTTCAACATCTGACCTATACGCACTCACAGGTGACCCCAGAGCTTCCCCACATGACCTCACGGCATGAGGTGGAGGCCCACTCTTGGAAACTACCAGTGTAACAAGTCATCTCCTGACCTGTCAGCCTTCCTATATCTAAATAATGATAAAAACTACTCAAAACACCAGTCTGGTCAGGAGAAAATATCAGCCAGTATCAATGGGGGAATACTCCAGAAAACATCTGATCAATACTATGCTAAACTGGCAAGGTTACTGAAGAGCGGGAAAGTCTTAACTGACTATCCCTGCCAAGGGGAACCTAGGAAGGCAAGACAAAGAAATGTAAGATGCTATCCTCGATGGGATCCCGGCCCTCAGAAAAGACGTTAGATAAGATCTAGAGTCATGCGAGCAACACATGGACTCTAGTGAACAATAATATATCAGCATTGGCTATAACTGTTATAAATGCACCATACTGTGGTAAGAAGTCAACAACAGAGGGAAGTAGGCATGGGGGCTCTTTACATTATCTTACAAACAGGTGCGATGTGGGATCTCTATCTCATAGGAGAGCTCCTTACAGTATTTTTGCAATATTTCTGTAAATCAAAGACATTCTAAAATTTAAAATTATAAAAATAAAAGTAAACAAACAAAATAAATACCATAAATAAACTCATAAATAACTGTTATAAGAGACGTCTATGGCAAGTTTTTTTTTTTTTCTTTTTGAAAGCAGAGCCTGCGGGCATCACTATTACCACGTTCAGAGTGCCTTTGGCTTCTGCTGGTTAGGCTCCTCAGATGGAAGGAAGATTTAATCATTGAGCCAAAATACTGCCAGGTCACCTAACCGTGACCATCCGAGAGGTGGCTGGCTTTCACTCTACCCCACCAATGCAGGGGAGGTGCCTTTATCTAATCCACACAAAGACTCCATAAGGGTCATAAGGGATGCACATGGAGAAGAAGCAACAGCAGAGAATGCACTAAATGCATGCACTCTATGCATGGGGGAGTTTGTCAAGGGACAGAGGTGGGTGCGCAGTTGAATGCCTCCATGGGATCCTGACCAGCCCCCTGCAACCAATCACTGAAGAATTCATCCAGGTTTATCCTGCCTGAAGGACAGCTCTGCCACAAAAGAACTTTACACCTGAGGAGAGCACCTCACAGGGTGCTCTGAGCATTCACCGAAACAAGCCATGAGTGGGCAGAAAGTGCTTTTAATATCATGGTCACGATCAACCCCCTTGGGGTGTCTAAACTGTTTTTGTGTTGAGAGAAAATAAAGCTCAGTAGCAGCAGGAAACAGATGTCTCCACCCCTGAAATACAAAACAGCTTTAAAAAAAAATCCTAAACCTGTATCTTAATAAGATCTGGTCCTATTGATGAGGGTCCAGCCGTATGGTATGAAGACCTGCCATACATCAGTGATGTCTGGTTGTGAGAGGAAGTCCAAGAGCAGCAGGCTGTTTTCTGACATTCATCAAAGTGAAAGCCTTACAACACACTCCCCACTCCTGTCTCTTCAGTCCTTCAGTTACTCATTTGATAAGAACATAGTGCATTTCTTCAACATGCCGAGTTCCACTCTAAGTCTTTATGAACAGACAGCTGAATGAGACTGTTCTCTTGGGAACTGGCCAACCCACAAGCAATCACAGGAAACCAGCAATACAGCAATAAAGAGAAAACAGAGCTACAGGAGCCCAAAGAGGGCCCACCATTCTGCCTCAAGTCCCTGGGGAAAGCTGCCCAGAGAACATAGCATCTGAAGTGGGTCCAAAGCATGAACACGTCTTCAGCAGGTAGAGAGCCGGGGAACACAGCATGTGCAAGGGCTCAGTGGCATAGCAAAGCAGCTTATTGAGGCTGCAGCAAAGTGATAGTGGCAGATACATCAAAGACTGTCTGGTAAGTGGTAAAGTACCTTGAATAAAATGCTCATCATTTTAGAACTTCTCTTACAGGCAAAAGAACAAACAAGCAAGCAAGCAAAACCAGCATAAGGTTTTTAGGCAAGAGCATGATGACATGACCGTGTCTGTATTTCAGAAAGACCAGCAAGCTGTCCAGCAGTGAAGCTGGGAGAAACAGTAGGGTTACACGAAGGGCTCTGGGATCCCACAGGGTGCCAGGCATGTGTGTATAGGTGGAATAACAGTCTTACATCTATGTATGACTAGCTCTTAAGAATATATAAATATGACAACTAAACTAAAGATTCATTCAAACGCATTAGTGAATGCATAGCTTTTTCACTATTTTCTGTCAGTGACCTGAGAGGACCATGAGATACTTTTCTATTAAGAGGTCCCAGATGGACAAGCGATGACACGTCCAAAAGTTGTACCAACAGCCACAAAGAGGCACTGACAGGTGTGAAAGCAGACTACAGTAGAAGCTACCAACAGGAGTCACTCAATACCACTCATCCCCAACTTCCATGCCACCGGCCTGGAAACCACACACCCACTTGTGCAGGTTTCTTTGAGGCTATGACTAATCACCAAGGTCCTGGCCAATTAAACGGGGGGTGGAGGGATCCTGAGGCAAGTGTTTCTTTCTGAATACAAAATATAAGTACTCAAGGAGAGGCCAGTGGGCACTGTGGCACAATGGATTAAAACCACTGCTTGCAATGTCGGCACCCTATATAGGAGTGCTGTCTTGAGTCCTGGCTGCTCCAATTCTGAAATAGATCCCTGATAATGTGCCTAGGAATGTAGTGGGTTATGGCCCAAGTACCTGGGGTCCTGCCACTCATTTGGTAGACCCAGATGGAGTTCCTGGCTCCTGGTTTCAGCCTAGCCCAGCCCTGGTTGCTGCAGCCATCTGGGGAGTGAACCAGCACATAGCTGGTGCCTTTCAAATAAATAAATACATCCTTTAAAAGTTAAAAATATTCAAAAAGAGGGGAAAAAAGTTATTCCTTTAAACTTGACCTTTTCATCTTTTTCCTTTGTCCCCTTTCTTTTCACGCTGAATGCTAGACATGAAACTAGAGCTGCAGCAACCATCTTGTGACCATGAGGTGACAAGCATCGTGACAAAAGAGAATCTTGCATATGTATGAATAGAAAGGTTGAGAAAATCTGGGTCCCTGACAGCCCCAACAGAGTTGAACAGCTGCCCTGGTCTTTATCAGCTCCTAATCTCTTGATGTGAGCCAAATAAGCCTTACTCATTACATTCTGGGGTCTTCAGTTGTTTGCAGTCAACTGCATTCATAAATGATGCAAATGTGCTCATCACACAACAAAAATTGTTCCCCACATACAAACTGTACCATCTGCAAGATACCTGGAATTGATATTTAAATAAACAGCTTGGTTGTCTTGTGAGAGGCACCATTACATTATATTCTTTGTTCCTATTAAAATTATTAATACATTAACTGAACAATTAAAGCATACTACAACTTTTTTCAAAAAGATTTATTTATTTGATTGAAAGAGTCACAGAGAGAGGGAAAGTCTGAGAGAGACAGACAGAGAGAGACAGAGAGAGAAAGCGATCACCCATCTGCTGGCTCACTCCCCAGATGGCCACAACAGCCAGGAATGGGTCAGGCCAAAGCCAGGAGTCAGAAGCTTCTTCCAGGTCTCCCACATAGGTGCAAGGGCACAAGGACTTGAGCCATCCTCTACTGCTTTTCTCAGGCAGTTAGCAGGGAGCTGGATAGGAAGTGGAGCAGCCAGGATGCAAACAGGCACGCATACCAGATGCCATCACTGTAAGAGAAGGTTTTACCCGCTATGCCACAATGCCAACATTTCTTCATTTTTTTTTCAACTTTTACTTAATATATATAAATTTCCCAACTGAGTCAAAAAAAGAGAGAGAGAGAGTGA